AACAGAAGAAGGGCATCTGCCAATGTTTATCTACAGCAGTGGTTCCCAACCTGTGGTCCATGGACCACCAGTGGTCTGCAAGAACTAAAATATGGTCTGTTACTACACCGTTGCAACAAGAGCGACTGGTCTCGTGAAACCTTCTTATAGTGCTGAAGCTTATTAAATATGGTTTTCTGTGGACGAGTAGATGGCGACTACTGAATGGCATATGTTTTGTATCAGAAACTAGATCTGATGTGGTCAGCCCAAATAACCAAACCAAATCTCAAGTTGACCAAAAACTTATGTGGAACCCTTTTGGTTCCAGTATTAGAGTCCCTTGTTAAAGTGGTCCCTGGTTAAAAAAAAAAAAAAAGGTTGGGAGCCACCGATCTATAGCATTTGAAGATGCCCAGAAGAATAATACCTCTGAGAATCAACTGGATGTACATTCCAACTAGATTAAACCCAATGTAGTCAATAAAACTTCAAAAAATCAGTATTATCACTGAGGAATGGGAGTTGGGAAAAATATGACAGACAGTGATATTGAAGAGGAAGTATTAAAAAGTTAAAATTGAAAATTCTCCTCTGGGTGAGATTTCTTTTTTGTAACTGATAGGAATTAAATTTATTGCCACATAGTGACTTGATTTATTTATAACCTCTCTGTAGTAAAGGTATCTTTCAACTTCAAATAAAAGAGAAATTTTAAAACAATGACTATTTCAGCCAGATTCAGAATCTAGCACCAAGCATTCTAGTTAATTTTTCTTCTTCTTTATGAACACATAGACTATTTTTCTTCTGAAAGTGCAGTGAGTAGTTTTATAGTCTCTCTCTCTCTCTCTCTTTTTTTTTTACTTTAGGGCACCTGAAAAGGAACTGCTATGACTTAAAATTATTAAACCAATTCTCAAGCAAGTTGCAAATGATGATAACTGCTGCTTTAACTGGATGTAAATAATAAGATCTCCCACAGCAAGAATTTCTCACAGGATTAAATAACCATGTTAAAATTGGTAATGTTCTGAGATTTTTTGTTATATAAAATGATACACTGGTTTAAAAACTGACTAAATATTTAAATGGAAATACACAGGCACTAATTGGTTGCTATAGCAGTGGTTCCCAACTTTTTTTTGACCAGGGACCACTTGACCAGGGAACACTTGAATGGGAACCATGTTGACCAGGGACCACTCTCCAACATTAGTACCAAAAGGGTTATGAATCAGTTTTTTGGTCAACTTTAGATTCGGTTTGGTTATTTGGAGTGCTGATTCAGAAAATTTAATTGGATAGACCACATCAGCTCTAGTTTCTGATACAGAACATGTGCCATCCAGTAGTCACCACCTGCTCGCCCATACAAAATCATATTTAATAATCTACATCTGATGTAGTAGTAGTAATCTTTCGTGGTAGTCAGCCTCTCCTCTCCTGAAATCCCCGTTGCCTTGGCACTATAAGAAGGTTTTGCAAGACCAGTCGCTCTCATGGCAGCATGATTTTGAGGCAAGGGTGTAGTAATAGTGAGGCCGCAGACCATATTTTCGTTCTTGTGGACCACTGGTGGTCCACGGACCACAGGTTAGGAACCACTGTACTATAGATAAATTAGTAGTTTGTTCAGATTTTAAACTGAAAGGGCTATGGAAGCTGGTCAAAATTAATACTGTATTATGAAACTAAAAAACTGATGTTGAAAGAGTGACACAGCCCTGGATTGGACCAAGGTTTACGAATTAAAGCATTGACTTGTTTGACAGGTCTGTGTATATATTCTTTTCCACATTTCATTATGATGAAACCTACAATAGTTCAAGTGGAGCAGCACTAACTTAATGGGATAATACCAAAGTTTTCATTATTACAATGCAACTTTTAAAAAACTGAATTATGGACATCTCTGATACTGTATTGTTGCAGCTTTATCCATGAATGTACTTATCTGTTACTTTTTTTTTACTGTAATTCGCAAAATAGAATTCTCTTAGCCAGCACAGCCACTGTGGGAATATATATATATATATATATATATATATATATATATATATATATACACATACATACATATACATACACATATATACACACACACACACACACATACACACATACATACATACATACATACATACATACATACATACATACATACAAATTCTGACCACCTCATGCATTATATTTTTGGAGAACAGTCAGATCCTTTTTCATGGAAATAGTTTTGTCAATGTGATCAAACCCATAGCAAGCAGAAACTGAAATTATAGTCTGGTGAATCTCTCTCCTTGCCTTTCCGCCCCTGTATGGGACTTTCAGTAAGGAAGAGGGAAGATTTTCCTTCCCTCCTGTAACCTGCTCCCAGCTGTGACAGCTGAGCTTGCCAGATATATTGCAAAATTTCTTTTGATTTAGTTTCCATTTGTGGCAGCACATTTCAAGCTATGTGAATCTGCAACTTGGAGTTTCTCACTGTGGAAATTGAAAATGAAAAATAAATGTAAAGTCCTTTTTCATTCTGCATGGCTTCACTGTAGTTAGGTGACTGAATATAAAGAATGTCAGAGTTCCCATATTTTCAACATCACCCATCTTAGATTGGGGTGGGAACTGTGTAGACCTCTGGATGTTATTGAACTGGAAGTCCCAGCAGCCCTGGCCGCTACAGACATTTGAGAGAAAAGCTGGGAGACCACATTATTTCCCAAGCAAAGCTCACATCTGGCCATCTGCAGCATTGGTTCAATTTTTGCATACCTTTGGTTTTATTCCCATTGCGTGAATGCACAACTTTCATACACGATTTCTCCCTGTCATTTAAAAGGCAATTTCAAGGATAGATTTGATCACAGTTACATACACTATTTGTTGCATGGGCACGGATCCTGCAAATTCTCCTGTGCTTAAGAAATAACTACAACCATTGTATGGTCAAAGGCTTTCATGGCTGGAATCACTAGGTTCTTGTGGGTTTTTTCGGGCTATAGGCCATGTTCTAGAGACATTTCTCCTGACGTTTCGCCTGCATCTATGGCAAGCATCCTCAGAGGTTGTGAGGTCTGTTGGAAGTAGGACACTGGGTTTATATATCTGTGGAATGGCTGGGGTGGGGCAAAGAGCTCTTCTCTGCTAGAGCTAAGTGAATGTTTCAACTGACCACCTTCATTAGCATTTGAAGGCCTGGCTGAGCCTGGGAAAATCTTTTGTTGAGAGGTGTTAAGATGTGCCTGGTTGTTTCCTCTCTGCTGTTTTGCTGTTGTAATTTTAGAGTTTTTTAATACTGGTAGCCAGATTTTGTTCATTTTCATGGTCTCTTCCTTTCTGTTGAAATTGTCCATATGCTTGTGGATTTCAATGGCTTCTCTGTGTAGTCTGACATGGTGGTTGTTGGTGTGGTCCAGCATTTCTGTGTTCTCAAATAATATGCTGTGTCCAGGCTGGTTCATCAGGTGCTCTGCTATGGCTGACTTCTCTGGTTGAAGTAGTCTGCAGTGCTTTTCATGTTCCTTGATTCGTGTTTGGGTGCTGCGTTTTTTTTTTTTTTGCAATGAACACTTTTGCATGCCATGAACAAAGAATTCTTAAGTAGTTTGGCTTATGAATTGGGTAGAAGGTAGTGAGTTAGTACATGCATTGCAGACTAAGCAAATGCAGATTTTCTCTTTGATGTTTGCTTATTGTTGGCTCTGAACCCAGGACGCTGGTTGGTTTCCATCCCCAAAAGACTAATTGGGGATGAGAAAATCTTATGTTTGAGTTTCTCTGCATCCCATCTGTATTTTATTTCGACCTTGATTTTGTTCATTTTTCTATATGCATTAAAAATACACCTCCTTGCATATTTATTAATGTAGTTTACCTAATTTGTACAATATTTTTTCAACCCCATTGACCAAAGTTTACCTGTGTTGTTTTTAATTAAGCCCATTTTAGCTTAGGGGACACGAGAATACATGCATTGTTTTGTGCACATTCATGTGAATTTTTCAAAATCAGATGGTTAGATGGCTTTGGTAGATACCATCCTAGCTCAGGTGTTAATTCTTCTGCTAAAGAGAGCTGTGACCTCTAGCAATTCTGCAGGGGATATTGCAGATACATTGAAGATAACCCCCAGAGGACAAACTACTTGTCCTCAAGTCCTCATCTTCCTTTGCTCTGTCCTCTTTTCCATAACTGTCTATATGCTATGATAAAGCTAGTGCATTTATTTTGGGCACCACGATTCCAACTTTTACCTGCAGCACTACAAATGTTAATACTTGTTTTTAAATGGCATTTATTTTCTTTGTGAATTTTTGCACTTTTACAGCCAGTCCCCTCTGAATCTTTTTCAGGATCCATTTTGTTTAAGGTTCAGATTTGTTTACTCTGCCCTTTCCCTTTTCCTCTTGAACAATATTTTAACACCACATGGTAATGGCGAGTCAATAACTTTTAAAGTTCAAGCTGAACTGTTCTCCTTGGGATTCCTTCTATGGCAGAAATCTGTATGAATCTAATGTTATATATTTCCTACCAATGGAATTACTATTTCTATTATTTCTTCTGTCAGGGTACTGAAGTCACACATATTTTTCTTGTGATTGTGAAGTGCCCCATGATTTTTGTCTTTAACCTTTATTTCTTGAATATACCTCCTAGACTAGATGTTATTGAACTGCAACTACCAACAACCTACCATTCATAGTACATGGCGAGGAATGCTGAGTGTCTACCAACAGCTAGAAAGCAACACACACTTCATTCCTGTGTTAGATCCAGAACTGAGACTTAGTAAGTCATCAGATGCATTGCAGAAAGTGTGTGCGGGGATCGTATACTTAGAAAAGTGTATTATCCCCCTCCGTTTTAAAAGATATAATTTCGTTTTACAAATCCCATCAGATACTTTATGTTTTCCGGTCTTCTCCTGTTCTGTCCCACATTCTGAACTATCATACAAGCAAGTGCAATCCCCACTCACTCCCCATTCATTTTTTTCCAGATCCATCCACTTTTATTGAGAGGCCTCAAGCAAAGAGTTTATTATTATTTCTTCTTCTCCACTCAGCAGCTTCTTTGTCCCGTTTGGCCCAGATGCCAAAGAGCCACATGTTGGCCCTGGCCATGTGCAGGCTGGCAAAGGCCTTAAAGTTCTTCTCCTCCTTGGTGATGATCCGGGCCTTCTCTTTCTTGTGGACATTCTTGATGGGCATAACTGGTCTGGAGAGCTGGGTGGCCATCTTGAACTCTTCTGCTGGACTATCTCCTTTCTTGGGCGCAGAAGGCTTCCTGGGGAACAGGATGAGCTTGAAGCAGTACTCTTTCAGCCGCTGGATGTTGGTCTGCAGGGTCTCTGTGGATCTGTTTTGGCACCGGGGGTCCACTGCTATCCCCACCATCCAGGCAAACTTCTTGTTGATGCCGGCCATCCACAATTCGTCCAAGTTGAATCCTCTACTAGCCCAGACTTTGGTATGATACCGGATGGTGGGGCATTTTTTTGAACAGGGAAAACTTCAATATCATCGTATACTTAGAAAAGTGTATTATCCCCCTCTGTTTTAAAAGATATAATTTCGTTTTACAAATCCCATCAGATACTTTATGTTAAAAAGCTAGCTATAGCACAATCTCGAAAGATTACTATGAAGGAGAAATTAAAGGAAAAACCAAGTGGTAATATCTTGAAATTTTGGCATTTCTAATGATAAAATTAATTTAAAAAAATACCATGCCAGACTCATGAAGCAGGATTATGGGAGAGAAATGTCAATGCTGGTAGGAGACCACCCATAGGAACACCCATTGCTCCATGTCACTAGACTGAAACAATTTCTAGACTTTTAAAAAATGGAGTGTCTAGTGGGACCTGCAGTATGTTCTGGAGAAGAAAAATTGGTTCACAGATCATTGCAAGTTGTCTACCATTGCTTCAAAATAACACAGCACCTTGAACTTCTTATGCTCAGCTTCAGTCCATCAGTTCAAGACTTGATTGAATCACAGCACCACAGAGTACATTGGCTGATTCCTTCCCATACCTCCCAGATCTTTTTTAGAATAATGTATTTATGACCAGACACAGTGGATGTGTATCTACTGTATTCTGTAACATGAGCAGAGGGGCTGTATTGGTTGATGATGCATATTTCATAAGTATATAAAAAGAGTCAATATTTCTTGTTTTATGGACACTGCAGTTTCTGTTTCTCCTGAGTACCACTAACATACAAGTAATAGTTGCCAAACTTCCATTTGAGCTGCCTTGAGTCTCCTTACAGAGAGAAAAAACAGAGTATAAATAAACACAATAACAATAATAATTCATTGACAATCTTGATTTTTCTCTTGTGCTAAAGTGACTATCAACTGACAAAGTAGAACATGTCAGAAAATGCATGAGACAGCATTTTATCATACAATAGGAGCCTCTGAGCAGATTCAGACATGAAGATCTATAGCAGTGGATAAGCGTATAGATCTGTGCGCTTCTGCTACAATCCTGGAGGGTAGGGAAGAAATCCCTTTAAGATGGCAGGTTTTCTCCCAGGATTTGAAGTGAGGTTTTCATTTAAATGATGGCACTCTCTCCCATATGCTCAGTCCATCCTGATATCTGTATGCCTCCTGTTATACTTTGCACACACAAGATTGTGTGTGTGATGGGGTATGCTGAACTTACCAGTTGGAACAGCATGCATTCATCCCCAAGGCACCAGATTCTGCTTGATATCAGAAGCTAAGTACCTGGAAGGCTGACATCCAGGAAATATCATATGTTTTGATCTATATTCAGAGAAAGGCAATGGCAAACTACCTCTGACTATTCCTTGTCTAAGAATGGAATTACAACTATGTAACAGCTAGTTTTAACTACAGATAGTCTGCGTTTTAAACTGTGTTTTTATTTCATTTTATGTGTTGATAGTGGTTCTTGTAACTTTTATGTGATATTGTTTTATACTCATGCACCGTTTATGTTATATACTACACTTGTAGTATCTTGTAAGCCACCCCAAATCCCTTTTGGGACATGGTGGCAGGATATATATAAATTATTATTATTATTATTATTATTATTATTATTATTATTAAGTAAGTAAACTTTATTATGGTTGATGACCAGATCATAACAGGGGAGTTAACTTGGGGTTACATATTCATAACTGTGTGGTATTCACAATCCCCAGGTATCTCCTAGTTTAGGGGTCATATTGGGACTCTGAAAGTCCAACAAAAGCAACTTACTAGGAAGCAACCACTAAGACCAATGTCTGTTCCCCTGTTGCTTAGGAAGTAGATGACTCATGTTCCCAGCCTATTTCACATGAGTTTTGTTTTCATGCCAGGAGTGATTTGAGCAACTGCAAGTCACTTCTGGTGTGAGAAAATTGGCTCATGGGATGCCCGGATGTTTGCTGTTTTAACATCCTTGTGGGAGGCTTCTCTCATGTCCCTGGATGGAGAGCTGGAGCTTACAGAGGGAGCTCATCCCTAGATTTGAACCTCCGACCTGTCTGTCTTCAGTCCTGCTGGCACAAGGGTTTAACCCATTGCGCCACCAGGGGCACCTTCACACGAGTGATCTCTAGTTAGAGTTGCAATTGTGACAAGGATATAACTTCTGCTTGTCACGAGGTAGGTCTTTCACAGGGGAATATGGGTCTGTGTGCTACTTCCTAAACAACAGTGAAGAGTCCCTTGTCAATGGCAGTGGCTGCTTTGCAGTATGTGGGAATTTAGCGGTTTGGTTAGCAGTCACTATGTAGCTCTGAAACTATAATAATTACACATTTGTAACTATCCAGGCGGATGCTGGCTATGAAAATTGAAATCACCTCTGTTTTAGCAAAACAGATGGTTGCTGGGGAAGATCAGAAATGAATATTTAGATCACATTATTATAGCATTATTGTGTTCATAGCATTATATATCACATGCTATTACCATATGGGTTGATTATATGGTGAATTCAGTGACTGTGGGCCTTTCCAAACAGCCCTATATTCCAGAATATCAAGGTAGAAAATCCCAGGTAACCCAGTTCAAAGCAGATATTGTAATCCCAGGCACTGGGCATTCAAGGCCAAAACCGGAAACCAAGGGATGATCAATTGTGAAGTCACAGGTATGGACTCCAGTGTGTTACAGGGGACAACTTTCCAGTGATGTATGTTAGCATGATAAATTAAGAATCAGTCAGCATTATGATGTTGGAGGAAACTGGAGATCAGCAGTGACCAGCAGTTCTGCAGAATTCAAAGAGGCAGGAATGGAGGGGGAAAGGGAGAAACATGCTAAAAGGAAAGTGCATCATGTCAACCCTGATTGGGACCCCCTTCCATCTGGAAACTGATGTCCTCACTGCGGGAGAACATGCAGATCAAGAAGAGTGCTCCACAGCCACCTACAGACACACCGTCAAGACACCACATCTGGAAGACCATCATCCTTGAGCTACAAGGGATCACCTAAGTAAGTAAGTTGGAGGAAATTCTGAGAGGGCCTTGGACCGTGAGAAGATCAAATCAGTCCATACTCCAGAAAATAAAGCCCAACTGCTCACTGGAGGGAAGGATAGTAGAGGCAAAGATGAAGAACTTTGGCCACATCATGAGAGGACAGGAAAGCTTAGAGATGAGAATGATGCTGGGGAAAATGGAAAGAAAAAGGAAGAGGGGTCGATCAAGGGCAAGATGGATAGACTGTATCCTTGAAGTGTCTGGCTTGACCTTGAAGGTGCTAAGGGTGGCCATGGCTGACAGGGAGCTCTGGCGTTGCTGGTTCATGAAGTCATGAAGAGTCAGAAGTGACTGAACAAATAACAAACAACACTATACAGATAATAGTGTTCAAACATCACCAACAAAGTCTAATGCAATATACAATACACATTATTTCAAGGCAGTGTTTTCACCCTAAGGTTGTTCTTCATTACCTTGAAGACAGAAGAAATGGGTCCAGGACCTGAGATCTAGTTACTCTGTTTCCTTCTTGATTTCTGAATTTATCCTTTGATATAATAGATGACCATTTTAATACCCTCTCTACTAGCTGAAGCACCTACTCAGAAAATCTATCCCACCATTTTGCAGATATTTCCCTTCTTATGTAACAAGGATGAAACAGAGCAAATGTATTTATTCAGAAATGAGAAACAGACTGCAAACCATCTGTCTTATCAAGCACAAGCAGTGGTATTCTACTTCAGTCAAGCTTCCTGCCTCAAAGACTAGGCACATGACTTAAAATTTATGTCTCTGAGCTCTTTTCACAGTTCCCTTGAGACACCGTTACCGTCAAACTTCTGAGACTGAGAAACTTTGTTTCGGAGTGACCTTCAAAAAGTGTGCTGCTTTCCAACAGAATGCATTTGGAGCTGCCTGTGTGGCTTACTTCCTTAGGATGATTTGATTTCTCCATAAATGATTTTAGCAAGAGTACAGGAGAAGATGGGCTCAGGCCAGCAGGATAATTTTAGTTCAGTGAAACCATGGAAGGGATGATACAGCCAAGACAGCAGTGGCAGCTTCTTCACTGATCAGATGTCAGAAGAGCAATTAGGGAAACTGGCAGCAGCAGCAGCAGCAGCTTCTTAATCTGTACCACCTTGCTCTGACACCTTTCCAAATGCTGATAGCCACAGTTTTTTAGAAGTAAAGGTTCAGCTTTATGTAGCAACTACATGTAGCCCTACAGCTTCTCTTCTTTATGTATGATAACACCTCTCTTTGTGATGGTTACAAACCCTATTCCTTGTACCCATATTTATTTATTTACTATTTACAGTATTTATATTTCGCACTTCTCACTCCGCAGGGGACTCAGGCTGGATTACAGTACACATATACATGGCAAACATTCAATGCCATAGACATACAACATATACAGACAGACACAGCGGCAATATAATATTCCAGCCTTCCGGCTTCATGAGGGTATGCTCGATTCTGGCCAAAGGGGGATCTGTCGCTTCACCATCCACTTGTGACACCGAGTCCTTAATGGAATACTTCCTTATTCTTATGCATGCTGCTGGAATGTTTTATGGTGTCATAAATTAGTTAAATTAGCCTCCCTAAATACCTAAATTTCCTACATGACAGATGTAACTGTCTTTTGGGCTGCATAGGCCAAGAGCAAGCTAAACTATTAATGGTTGGGAGGTCACTCCAACCTGGGCTGGCTTTGAACTCATGACCCCTCAGCCAGTAGTGATTTAATGCAGCTGGCTACTAATTAGCTGTGGCACAGCCCGGTCCATTAGAAGAGCGGTTCTGTCAGCCGTTCATTTTCCTTTGCTGATACTTAAGAGAGGCAAAGCTTCAAAATATAGAATTGAGGAAAAGTACATGTTGGGTCCAACAAATATTTTATCTTTAAAGTAGCATTGCTTCTAACAATATACTTAGAAGAAATATCTAATTTGACCTTCAGAACTTGTTTGCATTGATCAGAAATGTTGACTTGTCTAAAAGCCAGTGCTGGCTGTCTCCATGATTCACGATGATGCTATCCTGAGTTTTCTGCCCTTAACCCAACTTTGCTCTGTTTTAGGCAAAGTTGGGAGCTCCTTTGGAGTTTGCACGAAATTTTGTGAGGGGAAGTCATAGAGAGGAGGGAGCAAGCTTGTTTTCTGTTGCCCTGGAGACTAGGATGTGGAACAATGGCATCAAAGTACCAAAAGGAGATTCCACCTGAACATTAGGAAGAACTTCCTAACTGTGAGAGCTGTTCATTAGGAACTCTGCCCTGGAGAGTGCTGGAGGCTCCTACCTTGGAGTCTTTTAAACAGAGGCTGGATGGCCATCTGTCAGGGGTGCTTTGAATACGATTTTCCTGCTTCTTGTCAAGTGGTTGGACTGGATGTCCCATGAAGTCTCGTCCAACTCTAGGTTTCTATGATTTTGGAGTATCCATGGGCTTTACAGCAGTCTAGACAGCTAGATTGGTCCACTTTGGAATGATTCACTATGCAGTGAGACATTGCTTTTATCATATTTTCCCTGCACTAATCAGCAAAGGGAAAAGGATGGCTTGCCCCTCTATTGCAGCTGCTCTCTGCCAGCCATGGAGCTCACTGCAAATGCCTGGATGTTATGCTGATGTCAGAATGAGGCAGCTACAGAACCAAAAAAAGAAGGGGTGATTGATCTGTCTCTCCTTGTTAGTTATGCAGCCAGGGGCTAATTGGGTCTAAAATATTGATTGTCATAGAATTATAGAATCATAGAGTTGGAAGAGATCTCATGGGCCATCCAGTTCAACCCCCTGCCAAGAAGCAGGAAAATTGCATTCAAAGCACCCCTGACAGATGGCCATACAGCCTCTGCTTAAAAGCCTCCAAAGAAGGAGCCTCCACCACACTCCGGGGCAGAGAGTTCCACTGCTGAACAGCTCTCACAGTCAGGAAGTTCTTCCTAATGTCAGGAGACAAAGGGAACCCACCCACAAATAAATGTTTTTTTTTAAAAAAAATACATACATGGAAAAAGATACAATTAAAATTATTGCAAAATAAATGTATATTTAAGTAATTACAGTGTACGTATATTGTACATATTACTGGTAGTATCCAGTAGATCCTAAATGTCAATACAGATTGTTATAACTGAATTTTAATTATGTTTTTATTATGTTTTAAAATTTGAAATAAACGGTGAATTGTCTAATGTATAAGGGGCCCCACATTGGACAAGACTGTC